ATCCTATCTATTCTGACTAGGGTTATACTTAATTGTTTTATGCCCTGTTCAAAGATTTGTATTGTTTGTAGATTATCTTCAACTTATTCATTGTCCCCCTCTAAATTACCGCAAAGTTAGCTTAGAAAACTGCAGATTAGGATGTTTAATTTTTGCATATTAACAAAATTACGTATATGCACTTCCTATTTTCCTCCATAACTTGGTAGATGCCATCTAGTTTAACTTTGTCTCCTGTTATGTTGTTGTTTATTTACTGGGCCCGGGGCCATAAAACTTAGACGAGCTCACTTTTGATCTCAGTCTCACATTTCCCCTATTACATGTAATTCCTTTGATAAAAGTGAGACTGAGATCGAAAGTTAGCTCGTCTAAGTTTTATGGCACCGGAGCCTGGCATTTATTTTTACTTTGTGGTCAGTTTAGTGGCATTCGATTCAATCTTCTTTCCTTGTTTTGTAATGTTTAATGGCAATTGTCTTCACTCTGCTGTAGAATACGGCTACCGAGGCCATTGTATCCAAATCACTGTTCATCAGAATGGGACCCATATAAAAGTAACCCTTTTCATTACCAAAAGAACTTTTAAAGAACTCATATTTCTAGTACGTGTAATTCAACAATATTCATTTTTTTAATAGCTGCTTCGTGTTTGTCATTAATGAGAGTGAAATACATAAAAGGATTTTTTTTTATTTTTAACAGACAATAAAATACTTATTCCAGTCAACTAAATATAACTTAGATATCATGGTTCTCTGTAAACTCGTGTATGGTGGTACGTTCTCTGTTAAGTCGTGTATGGTGGTACTCCACTGTTATCAGCAGTAACACGCAGGCTTTATGCAGTCTGTACACAGCGCACATTTGGTAGTCACTGTGTTACCACCATACGCTACAAGTCAAAATATTCATTACTGTAAAACACTGTAATTCATCAGCTGAATATTTTTTTTTCATAGATGTTAGTTTCACAAAGTAAACAATACAATAAAGGAATATGATTAAGACACGTATTATAAATCTTATAAATCTTCGATTTGAAATTAGACCCTGACAGACGTTTTTAGATTTTTACGGAGTCAAATAAGGTTCTTGATTAACCTCGCTTTTTAATTTTTTGATATATTTTTTAAATACATGTATAGGAAAGTACATATATTTCTCACGATGCCTTATTGCACTTCTTGAGTTTAGGTCATATATTTAAGAACTTTTAAATTGAAATACGTTTTTTAAATTGTTCAACATACAAGAACATTTAATATAAGTTATCCACTTTAAAGTAAATAAAAGAAACGTACCTGCAATGTCACAAGTTGTTGATTCATCTTCTCCATATTTCTCTAATCATAGCATAAAAGAAATCATCTGAATATTACAATTATCCTATTTTATGAATCATAAAGTCATTACCATATATATTGAACATAATTATACTTTTAACTATTTGTATGTAATATTTCTTCTTCAAAGCAGGCTTTTGGGGTCTATTTTTTTGATTGGAAATAGTTTTTGGATTTTTTGTATTGTAATGTATTGACAAGCAAAGGAAAGAACGAAAAATCTTTCTTCAAGAAAATCAAATTCCCGTTTGAGAAGGGTATTTAATAAAACATTCTAAAGAAGCTTTTGTTTGCAATTTGTGCGATTTTATTTTAGGTAAAAACATCAAGAAATATGTTTCTTTTAATTTATTGAGTGAAATTACAATAAATCGGGTTTTGCACTGTCATACAAGCTAATTAATGTGAACTAAAATTTAACTTTAGCACCTTTAATACATGCCAAATAAATATTCCCGTATTTAAATAATAATCTTGAAATTACATACATTCTAGCTGATGATCGTGCGGAAGTGCAAAGACGTGATATTTTACGCTTTTGTGTGTTTAAGAATGACCTCCGTTTGGTATGAAAGGTAATTTGATTTTAAAATTTTAAGAATGGTCCTTGTATGATATGTCTTATATAGATTTGAATTCCAGTTGTTTTATTCACATAAAAAAATATTAGCAGAAACGCCAACAAGGCAATCAAACCGTTTACCAAACGCAACGTAAGCTCATATAATATAAACTCTCAACCATCAGGTAAATAAATGAAAAAAACAAACAAACAAACAAACTCTTATCTGTCAGGTGAATAAACGAAATTCTTACTTTTCAGGTGAATAAATGAAACTCTTATCTGGCAGGTAAATAAATAAAGCTATCAACTGAGATAAAATACTAGTAAGTGAAACTATCACTTTTTAGGATAAAACTCTCACATGTCTGGTAAATATAAATCATCTCTCACCTGTAAGTTTAGTGTGAATAATTGTTGTGTTAATTACACAGACCTGCACGTTAAATGAAACATGCCCCCGTGATAAGCCTGTGTGATTTACATACCAATAACTCACACAAAAATTAACAACATTCCTAAAATAAAAGAAACTCCCACCTGAAAGGTAAAAAAAACCTCTTACCTGTCAGGTAAATAAATAAAAATCTCATCTTTCTGATAAATATAATATAAAAAAATACCTGTCAGGAATCGAAGGAAACTCTAACTTGTTACATAAATAAACACAACATTCAGGTAAATCGAAGGAATATCTCACATGTTAGGTAAATAAATGAAACTCTCATCTGTCAGGTAAATCGAAGGAAACTGTCACTTGTCAGGTAAGTAAATAAAACTCTCACCTCTCAAGTAAATCCAAGGAAGCTCTCACCTACTATGTAAATAAATGAAAATCTCACCTGTCAGATAAATGACCAAAATCGTAATGAAAGCGACGAAGGTTATGACAAGTAAGACAACAAGAACGATGATACATTTAGTTCCGTTTGGCAAATTTGATTTTGTTCCATCCTCTAAAAATACATAATACAATGTACATGAAAATCTATCATAAAAAGAATTTTTTCCTCCAATTTTCCAATCTGAAATATGGAACGACAAAAATGATAAATCATGATCCTTGCGCTTGAAATCAGTAAATATCTTTTCTTGAATGGTTTCATTTTTTTTGAATATATTTTGAAAATAATTTTTCTGACATAGTTTAAACAGATGGTCGTCATTTATGCAAAACAAAAATTGTTATGATATAGTGTTATAGTGTTTACTTACCTGTTCGATCTTCTGATACCCGGGGGTTTACTTGAGACATCGTATTAAGGCCGGAATAAACTTATCTCTCAACTTTGCCAAAGTCTGTTTATCATTTACTTTAACACCAGGTTATGATATGCGCCACTGCATCATGATACATGTATAGATTTTGGAGCATTATTAAATGTTTCAAACAAATTATATTCAAATACATGTAAAAACAATTTTTTGGCAGCAAAATCGATATTTATAAATGGAAATCAATGGAATATGAAATATTTCTATGAAGAAGAGTGAGATTTAATATCCTGTAGGAATACTTACACCACAAAGAATATCCTACATGAATCAAAGAAGTCACTGAAAAAAATATTCAGCCATTTTGGTGATCGGATTATCAAAGTCATCAGGAGAATGTACACATTTGCCAGACTTTGCAATGCTGTATTTTTCCTATATTTTTTAATATACTTCATAAATGTTTTGTCTACACACACACATCCTCACATACACACACTCTCACACACGCACACACACATCAGACCTAAGAACGTAAACATAGGTAGTGACTGTTCCTTCGCCAAGCGCCTGACACTAGAAGTGAAAAGTCATGGGTCTTTCGGATAAGACCTTATAATTATAAGCGTCGGCACTTCATAAAGAACCCTGACTGCTCAATGGCCGTGAATGCCGAGTATAGGTTTTAATTTGAAGCCCTTCACCGGTATATTGTGACGTCTCTATGTGAGAGAAAAATTCTCGAATGAGACGTAAAACAAGATACAATCACTCTATCAAATAATCAAAATCACTCTCTTCTTTATCTCATAAATTCATCTCCGTCATTGGATCGCTAATATCACTACCATTAGCACGATATAGTGCGTTTGTTTTTAGTTCCTGTGTTTAGGTCGATTAATTTTTGTCTTAAGGTCGATTTACTAGTTAATCTAATTTAAATTGATCTTTTGAATACTATTCGTTTTAGTCCACGTCAAGTGGATAATAAATTTGTCCACTTTCTGTTTTAACTTGATAGAAAATTAGATCCTCACATTACACTTTTGTGCTAGACTTGGAGTTTTTCACTTCTTACAGTCTTTCATTATTTTTTTTTTCTAATACATGTTAGATTAAAACCGAATGATCTGAAATAAACTAGTTTTTCAATGTTTCAATTTTTCAAATTTCTGATGTTGTTGGATAAAATGGATGAAAAAAGAAAGAGGTGAAATTAACTAGGTCACACGTATTGCAATACATGTATCTGTTAGTGATTTATAAAACTAAATGTTTGATTTAAACAAGATCACTGGGATAACAAATTTTGAGTCTTTCGGATAAATATAGAAAAACATTTTTATATAATTAAAATGTGAATGAAATGTAAAATAAATAAATAAATAAAATTTAAAAAAAAATGTAAATTTTGATTCATTTTCTGAGCAAATAACAGATTATTTTTAAAGTTTCCTGATATAAGGGGTTTAGTAAAAATGAGAAGGACATGTATTTATTTTATTATGTCCGATTTAAATGAGGTTCTACTGGTCGATAGTTTCACTGCAGATTAAAGTATGGCAATAGGATGTTCCATCTATCAACCATTTTTTTCTCCATTACTTATATTCATGTAAACTATTCTTAAAAATATTCTTGGGTCTTTGAGACTACACTTTGCAAAGAATAAATTCCCACGGGCACAAATTATCCTTTTCTATTAGTTTGAAAGGTTTCTTAAAACAGAGCTTATTCAAAAAAGTCTACATGAAAAAAGAAAATTCTTGGTGCAACTTGCAAATCGACATTTAGAAGACGCAATATCAATAATAATATTTCCTGTAAAATTGCCGATAAGAAAACAAATTGAAATAATGAAATATTTTCTTTTTATCTAGGTTTGCGGATAGCCCTGCTTCAGTTATTGGCAAGAGACACAAAGTCGAAAATCCTCCAAAAAGCGGAGGAGTATATAATACAAGCTGCAAAAAATGAGACAAAACTTGCTATTTTACCGGTGATTTGAGAGTTTTGTATATATATGACGTTGCGCACGGTGTTGGTACACATTGACGTTACGTCAAAATAACGTTATTAAAGTCATAACGTTGTTACAACGTTTTAAACGTTAATTGAAAATTTTAGTTGTTTAATGTGAATTCTATTTATTAATTTTTTTTAAAATCTAAATAAAATGACAGAGCACAAACTTTTCAATTTTTGAATCTTCGTTGAAAATATTAAGATGTACACTAAAAATCTTATAATCTTATAAATATTTAATAAATTGTCAGATTTTTATTATGAAATTGTCACAGGCATACATATCCCCATTCATATTCTTGATTCTTCTTTCTATTTCTTTTTTCTCACTTTGTACGCTCTGTTTTGCAAAGAGAAAAACACATCAAGTAGCTTTCTCTTTCAACCATTTCTCCTTCATTTTTTTCCATTAGATCATTTCAAGTTTTCTATTTCTATCAAGCCCCGCATGCGCCTTGGTTTCTGACAACCAAGATCAGAGAAAAGCACAGAAAATCGGTTAATGCGCGGTTCCAGGAAATTTTGCGAAGGGGGGGGGGGTCCAACCAATTAAAAAAATATGACATTCGAAGTTTTTGACAAGCAAAAAAAAAAATATAACTGAAAATCCCAGGGGGGAGGGGGGTCCGGAACCCCCTTCCCGACTTCCCCCGCCTGCCTTTTTTATTGAAACTTTCTTTCTATATTTTTCTAATATGTTAAATCAGGTAATGTACCTAGCATTTACAACCTTGATTTTGCGAAGGAATATATTTTTCTACGATAGAGAAAATATGTCTTTCTACGAGAAAAATGGAATTATGAAATCAAAACATATGAATGATGTAATTTTTATGACAACCGCTGTACAAAGTAGGATTTCCCCCATAACCAGCCCTCCACCCCATCCCGGAATCTATACTCAGGAATCTTACACTAGAGCTAATTTTCCTCTCTTTCTCTCTCAGAGTAGGTTTTCCCCTGTTTTATCAATGCTTAAATCATATCGACATTGCTAAAGTTTATATGAAAGTCAACTGGTTTTTTAATAGAAATATGAGTGTTTTCGCTCAAAAATTTTTCAAAGGATCACTTCTAGGTAAATATACACGCTGACTTATATGGCCGATATTGGTTTCAGTCTTTAGAGAAAGCTTATCGATATCCGTTCCGGTCCCTGACTTTAGGCCACATGCGTGTAGTTTCTTGTTTCTCATGTATCGTTTTAGTTCTAGTCAACTGTCTTCATATGACCCTACATCGATATTTACAGAAACATCCTTTATACGAGAGTCCTTACTTGATGCCTGGGTAATGGCAACGGGACATAAAACTTTAACTGACCTTACCACATTCTCTTCTAATCTGTAAACCTCCCCCTGCATTTTTGACATAACATGTCGCCAATGCACACAATTTTCCCGAGGAATGAACTGCATCTACTCTGCATAGCGCAGTATCTCTCCCAGTGGCACAACAGTACTATTACCCAGAGATGTTCTTGAAAGACAAACACAGCAATATTTGCTCGGCATGATTTTTTTTTTCGTGACACCTGCAGTATCGAGTAACACAAAGTGAATGATTCGTGTCCTCGAACAAAGTGTGCTTACACTGAGGTATAGTTCCGGTTGATTGCGTTTAGTTAAAGAGAATTTATGATCTGCATTTCCATAAATGTCTTTTATATCAACAGCAAACATATACATTTAAGGAAGAAAATAGAAGTAAAATGAAAAATTAAATTCGTGTTTATACAGGTGAAAAATTTGAAAAAATAAAAGTGTGCCAACAAGTGGATTCGAACCAAGACGCTAAAATTGTCCATGGTGAAAGTCTACGGTCTGTCTCTCTGAGCTATACTAAATATGAGAACATACGTCTGACATAAATATAATCCAGTATGATAGAAATAGGTTTTCGCACTTTTTGTAGGTTTTTTACGAATTTCGACCCTAGGGCAGGGGTGTCCCTAAAAAAACCTTGTTTTAAATCATTCTTCAGATCAAAATCTATCAAAATTTCATAATTTAAATTAGGGGTAGGCCTGCCCTGAAGGACTTCTATTCCAAAATTTACGCAAAAATTAGTGCTTTAACAGATAATATACTGTCTTGACCAACTTTGTAGGTTAATTTCAAAGTTGCAAATAAAAAAAAAAGGTTCAAAATGCAAATTTGAAAAACTTAGACAAATTTACGATAGAAAACAACTAAAGAACATTGATTTTTAAATGTGACTTTTTCAGGAAATTGTTCTCTCCTATATAGGTCAAATCTTTTGTTATAACGAAAACATCCTTTAGTATGAAAAAATACAATACAAGAAGCACTGCTCTTGCAAGCCGTAGGATAGGTATGACCCCTCGACCACAGAGGTGTAATACTGGATAGCTATTTTAAACCCCAGAAACTTGGCGAGGCACTTAATCAATATTATGCACGTGTAGTTTTATGAAATATAACTGGAGAAAAAAAATCGATTAAAAATAAAATTCCTCGTTTTTTTTTAAATTAAATGTTGACACAACTAGACTTTTTTTTATTACAATTTTTGTTAAGTTTCATTAAGATTGTCCACTGCGAGAGCACCTGTGAAAAAATTACAGAAAGTACATTTGTAACCATATGTCGCCCCCTCCCCCTCATATATAAGTACTGGCATGATATTTTATAGCAGAAGGGGTAAATTGGCTCTTGAGGGAATCGCACTTTATAACTGTTACACAGAGTAGGGATTTCCCCCGGAAAATTGAATGTGGTGTGAGATTTCTGATGAAGGGGAAATTATACTCAAGAGCCAGTTTTCCGAAAAAGACTTTAGAGGGGAAAGACCGGTATAAAGTTCTTGTTTTAATTTTGGGCTTTTGTACTGATATGTTTTTTAAATCGGTGGATAGGTTCTAGAATTATAGGAGGTCGCTAAACGGAAAAAAAAATTAAATGGCCTTATACTGAATTAAACTTTTCTTGTTTTTTTTTCTTCACCCCAAGTAGTTAAGCTCTCTTTATAAATGGGGGGGGGGGGGGTACTGACATGCAAAAAAGAAGGGATGGGGATGTTTCGCTATTAAAAACCCTACTAAATTGAAAAAAAAAACTAGCCAGAAAAAATAAAATTCAGAAACCCTTTCTTTTACTTTTTCGTGGAGGGTGGGGGTGGGGCTCTCATTCTCATTTAGCAAAGAGAGAGAGAGAGAGAACAATAACGTGATATGTTTAGATATTGCTGCAGCAAAATAAAAAAAGGGGGGGGTTACCGGCCTTTGAATGAAAATTTTCAGAATATTTAAAACAAAAGATTGTTCTAAAATGGTACTCCGGACCTGCAGAAAATTGGAAAAAAAAGAGCACGGCGATACAATTTGACGCTCCCGACGTCATTCGTATATATGTAGTGTGTAAAATGACGTTTTTCGTACCTGTGACAAAATGGCTACATCTATATTAATGCTTGCGTTTATTTCATGTAGATGATAACCGTAAAAATTATTTTATTATCTAATACAGTATGAAATGTTCTTTCAAGTTACAGTAATGATTGGTATATATATGACATTAATTTATGTATATTTGATATGTAACTGAGACATATTAAGTAAAAGTACAGCGACTCGTACGTGCATAACAAAATGGCTACACTTAACAAAGCCTTACTAATATTAACGTATCAGCAGTTATATAGCATGTATCAACATAACTAATTTTAGAAACATATGTACTTAAAGATTATTCATCAAAATTTATCTTTGTGTGGCATTTATGTCCAGTACACATCGCCATGCGGGCTAATATCAACTTTAGGAAACGATTTTTTCCTGTTGGACATATTACTTACGCACTGTAGATACAGCCCAAACTCGTGAAATTGAGAAAATGATGCTAAAAATTCAACAATATCACAAAGAATGCATACATATTATTGTATTTCCTAAATTTTATTTAATTTAGAGGATTGGAAGTGGATCTTTTTATATCTTGTAGTTGCGCGAACAATAATTTATGTAACGTTGGACACGGGAATTTCGCCGTAATAACCAATAATGAATAAAGCCATATCATAGCTAAGATATTTTTATATTATTAAAAAGAGAATTTTTAGAATAATTCATTACCTTGGATAAAATAATTAATTTCATTTTTAATTTCTAGTAACTTTAACATCTTGAAAACGCCAGTTTCTTTACGACATCTAAAGAGTAAGATTTTATAGTACCAACACCGTGCGCAACGTCATATATATAAAAATGAATTTCTGCTAGTTATAATGGATTTTTTCTCCAAATATACTAATTGTCTAATAGAAAACGGAGGAAAAAATTCAAGCGAATAATATATACAATATATAGGATAATAATACTTATCAAACATCATCTAACTTTTGGATGTAAAATTTAAGAAGTAAAATAACTGGTTTTTTATAGATTGAATTTTTTATTGTTTGAAAATTTTCACAGCATGGTATGCCCAGGGATATACCGTATAGCGGGAAATTTTAGCAGGGTGCTAACTTTGGCTTAATTTCGCGGATTTGAAATAGGCCACTAAAATTTTATTCGTTAAATTTTCACACTTGCGTATAACTACGGTATACAAAAAAAAATAATAACTTTGATCAGTCTGTTGTTATACAATACACCTTTTATCTGGTATGGTCTTAACTCAAACTCTTGTCTTAATCTGTATTCAAACGTATATCTAACGTACTGAAAACTCATCTAGAAGACGAGCCTTAATTCTCTCTTTTGCACGTCATTCGGACAAAGATTGCCCGTAGTCCTTTGATTCGTTTATCGTCCAATGTTGTCCTTTGATTTGTAGGAACTGTTTACCGTAGAACTGCATCCCCCAGTTATGATGGCAAACAAAGAAAGTATACCTGATGGAGAGACGTGTCAGCTGATGTCACACCTGGCCAGGAAACACAATATGCACATTATAACAGGTAACCACACTGGCTACTGACTTATTTATTTTTCTATTATAATAAAAGAATTCACCCAACCTAATTGAATGACAGACTTTTTATTTCGTAATAAAAATGAATAACGCCAGCTGACTGCGGGTAGACACAATATGTTTTTGTAAATAACATGAACGAAGCGTAGGTTCATGAATATCATCCCTCCTATTTTACAGGAACAACGTAATGACAATTAAATTATGGGAACATTGACGATATGATAATTGTAAATTTTTTATCTGTACTATCTTGCAATAAAATTAGATTCACAAATTAACAATTCATTGTAAAATTCATTACCTTATAATTATATCAAAATTTACTAACTGAATACTCAATAATGCAATTATAATAAATCTGATGCTAACGAACCCTAATCTTGCATGCTCAAAAGTCAAATGAATCAACAGAAATTGTGAGCAGAGCAAATAAGAACCTCTGCACACATCAGAGATGGAATCAGGTGCTATAGACGATTAAACATCCCCTGACGACTGGCCACGCCCATCAAGTGATCCATGTCATGATAGGAGAAATCCGTAGTCAATTCAGTAAGACAATATTAACGAAACAATTTCTATTAAAGACGTCATCAACATTCGACCTAACAACAGATTATATTTGCAAAAACGATATTTGTATTGATCATAAAAATTGGGAAATGTTGACTCTAAAAATGATTGTATCATCCACTTATTGGTCAGTAGCCTGCCTCCTTTTGTTCGTAAGAAGAATATGTTCTTGCATATCGAATAAGCGGGCGATAATGTCATATTGCTACATAAAGAAAGGGAAGTTGATGATAGAAAAGTTATCACTTTTATCATAAGGTTAAGCTGTAAGATTGCCGTCAATGTCCTACTCTAGCAGAATATCCAAATATAAAGCAAAGCAGATGAGTTAGACTCCGTAGTGTATTCATTTCGATTGGGCTATATAGAAAAGACGTCTAAAAACAAGTCTTTTTATTATGGGGTACAAATAGTACCCACTGGATTCCAACAGATTGCAATTGTTTAAAAGCATAATCTCTTAAGACCACATAGATATTGTTAATGAGGAACTCAAGCATCATTTTTTTTTGTATCAAAATCAGGTCGCCCGCGTGGAGCAGTGGCTAGAGTGTTTTGCTCTAGACTCGCGAGTAAGGAGTTGGGGGTCGTAACATAAAGCTTGCTAAGTTTTTGACTTAAGTAGGGTCATAAGTATGTTTTAGATGCAATCTTAAGACCTGCCTAAGTACTACTTAAATATGTCTTAAACCGTAACATAAAACGGACTTAGGTAGGTCTTAGCTAAGTCAAACTTATGTTCAAAATATTTGTTATGAATCATCCTAGTTTTTCAATTCATTTATATATATATTTGTAAAAATGATTTAGTTACGCTTTTAATCGCATATATATTAATGCTGACGTCCTTACCTATCGGATTTAGTTAGGTTAGATTAATTTCGTATTTAATTAAAGTTAATTCTGTTTAAATTATTCGAAATCAAGTTCAAGTTCAAGTTCAATTTATTCACTCAAACCAATTAATGGTACATGAGGTTCTATGTACAATATATACAAAAACAATATACAAGATACACGTGAAATGGCGGAAATACATTCAAATTATAAAGTAACCAAAAAAAAAAAAATAATAATAATAATAATAATAATAATTATGGAGGACAGACTTGTTCATATACCCTTTCTATGTAGCTGCATAGTTTGATTAATACCTTGGAGTCAGCAGTTGACAACAATTCTGAGAATTTGTAGAAATTTGGTCTATTACAATATTTACCCGGTAGATACTTTTTCTGCATTCTGAGAAAAATTGACATTCTAAAATATAGTGATACTCATCAGCTATTTGTCCATTATTACAGATATTACAGAGTCTATCATTTTTGGGAATTCCAAACCATCTCCCAGTCTCAACTGGGAGATGATGATTTGCTGTTCTTAATTTAATTAAAATTGTTCTAAATTTTTTAGGTAGAAAGTCTAAATATTTTTCAAATCCAAATTCTGTTTTGAAGATACTATACATATGACCTTTAGACGAATCGCGCATATCACTTTGCCATTTCTGTATGTACTGATCTTTAAGACGTTGTTCAACTATAATTTTTAGCCATTTTATATTTAAAAAGGCCTGTTCATTCCATATATTTGAGAAGCCACAAGTATCAAGTATATTCTTAATACATAAAATCCAAGGGTTCTTATGACTTCCTGAACAAAACTGTTCAAATAAATTCTTATATGTAACATAAACAATCTTATTTTCAGGGCTTACCAGTAATTTTGCCCAATGTGATATCATTCTTATATACACCGTTATATACAAAGGGAATCGACCCGTTTCGCCATAAACCATATAACTAGGAGTACTACTTTTCAGATTAAAAATATATTTCAAAATCTTGAGATGGACGCGTTCAATTATTTCAATGTTCTCAAAACCCCATATCTCGCATCTATACAAAAGTACTGTTGTGACAACTTTATCGAACAAATCAAGCTGGCAATCTACTGGTAAATTAAATTGTCTAATTTTTCGTATAGCACCATACATGGCTTTTTGAGCTTGCTCACATAAATGTTTTTTAGCCTTACAAAATGAACCGGATCGGGAAAATGGTATACCTAGGTATTTAAATTCATTCACAATTTCAATAACAGAATTATTGTAGTAGAATACATTTTTTACAGATGGACCTTTCGAAAAAATCATAATTTTTGTTTTGTCTACATTGACATTCAGTTTCCATTGTAAACAATACGAATGAAACTCATTAAGAGCGTGTTGCAAACCCTCAGCAGACTCAGACATCATAACTGTATCGTCAGCATAGAACAAAATAAATAATTTAAAATACAGCCAAAATTGGTTTTCTACAGTATTTGAACTGCTTGCATTAAAGGATAGCCCATGCACATTTTTACTAATGAGAAATTCTTCTAAATCATTAATATACATAGAAAACAAGAGAGGCGATAAATTTTCTCCTTGGCGTACACCAATGTTACAGTTGTAAAACTCAGATGAAAAACCATTCATAGTCACAAGGGACTTAACTCCATTATACATATTTTTTTATAAATGTAAAACATTTACCACTAATGCCATTATTTAACAATTTGTACCAAAGCCCATTTCTCCACACCGTGTCGAATGCCTGTTTAAAGTCAACAAAAGCACAGAAAAGTTTCTTTTTGAAAGACATAACCATATTTGTAAGAAAATGTAAAGTCAGTATATTATCTAAGGTCGAATATCCTTTCCTGAAGCCAGTTTGACTTTCACTTATAAGGTTTAAATTCTCTACATAGCATTCCAAACGTTTACATAAAATGGAGGTAAAAAGCTTACCAAGACAACTTAAAAGTGTTATTGGACGATAATTTTCTGGATTTGTTGGGTCGCCTTTATTTTTGAAAATCGGTTTGACAATACCTGTGAGCCATTCGTCTGGAATGACTCCACTATCAAAAATCAAATTAAACATTTTTTTGTATACAGGCAAAAAAATAGATACTGTTGATGAAATATGTTCGTTTAACAATTGATCGTAGCCTGCGGCCTTATTATTTTTCAATTTTTTTACTGCAAATAAAATTTCTTCCTCACTAATCTCAAAGTTCAAAAAATCATCACATTCATGGCTGTCTGTTGAGAACATTAAAGTATCACCATCTTCTACGTCATTATCATAACCTTCATTGATGCCCTTAAGAAAATCATACATAGCATTAATATCTACAGCACATTTATTTGACATATTTGGACCATTTAAAATTTTCCAGTAATCTCGAGTATTTGTAGAGCGTAGTGATTTCAAGTTTTTTGTCATGCCTTTTCTATAATCTTTTATACATGAATCCAGTATCTTTTTATAGCTTTTGCTTTCTAATTGAAGATTAGCTTTATTTTCTAAACAAGAATTTTTACTATTTAATCGCTTTGCTAAATGATATTTCTTTCTAGCCGTTTTGCACTCTTTATTGAACCAGGGTTTATCGCATTTGTTTTTACAATTATTTATCTTAAAATTTCGACTGAACCCAAATGTTGATTTAGCTGTGTTTAAAAATATACCACATAGCTTATTAGTAACATCATTTATAGTGTCTTTACTAATGTTGTTTGTTTCCGCACTACTGGTCAAAATATCTAACTCATTTTCTATGTCCTTGACCTTAGGTATATCCACATTCTCTGAAAAATGTTTTGCTTGATCTGGTGACCATAGTTTTACACGTGACTGATTTTCAACAATACCTTCACACCTGTGTTCTGTAAAAAAGGCTGGTAAGATAGAAAATGAAACAGGATTATGTACGTCCGAATACAAGTTACAGAAGTCAGTGATATCAAAATCTTGAATAATTTCAAACATAGGTGCTGTGGCAACCACATAATCCACTGTGCTACTACCTTTACAAGTTAAACCTCCTACATATTTGTCACTGCCAACACGGCCATTTACAATATAAATATCGTTGTTTTTGCAAAAATCAATCATTTTGTAACCAAAGTTATTAACATGGACATCTTGTACTACCCTACTGAGAGGAATCTTAAAGTTATCAAAAATAATAGTTCTGGTCTCAATGGCTGTCTTAAAAAATTCTTCACATTTGTGTAATTGTAACTGAAAATCATCAGCGTCAAATCAGTCGTGTAAATTACCCACTCTGGAGTTAAAATCACCCATTAAACACAAATATTTACTGTCTTTAGATATAGAAATAAGTTCGCTCTCAATATCTAAAAAACAATCTGTAGATGCGTATTTACTGCCCTCGGGGGGCAAGTACACAACACCAAATATAGCATCTTCATCAGTATTAAGGATACATTTACTTATCTTAAACCATAGAATATATTTACAAGTAGTATTTAATATTTTCACATGTTTAACTAAAGTATCTCTTACAGCTAAAATAATACCTCCTGATCGAACTTTTGACAATTTTTGTCTATTTTTCATAAATAATGTAAAACCTGGCATTTGAATTATATCAACATCATCTGTTTTTGTTTCGGTAAAGCCGATAATATCAAATTTGGAAATGTAATCTAAAAATTCAGTATAATTGAGTTTATTTTTAATTCCACAAACATTTAAACTTAGAAATTTGATAGAGTTGTTTGCTGATTTCTGACCCTCCGCGCTCTCCTATTTCGTCGGTGTAGATGATTTCCTTGCACGTTTGTTTCCACGCGGGGGTGGAGTAGGGTTGTCATCAAGGGCAGGTCCGCCGCGCGCTCCGGACGTCCACGGTGTGTTCTTGGAACTCTCGGACATCCTGCGGGTTGGATAACTCGGGGCGTTGACATGTTCCTGTGTAGCGTTGGGTTCATACATCTTACCATCTATGTACAATTTGTCCACAACAAGTTTCACGCGTCTATTTTCTTTCATCGCCTTGCGCATAACTGGGTACAACTTACGCCGTTTCTCCTCTACCTCCGGTGGAAACTGTTCATTCACCCAAATGTTGGATCCCTTGAGTTTGAGTGGGGCACGTTTGCGAACAAATTCCCGGTCTTTATAAAAACTAAACTTTGCCACAATGTTCCTTGGTTTGGTTCTGAACTCATCTGGTTTTCCTAAACGATGAACTCTCTCAAAAGGGATTTCGTCATGGATTTTTAACTTGGTTTTTAGGAAATCTCGCAAAACATCTTCACAGTTTTCCTCTCTGTTTTCTGGTATTCCGGTAAACACTAAGTTGTCTCTCATGGACCTACTTTTTAAATCGATCACTGATTTTTCTAATTCTCGTTGACCGTTGCTCAGCTCCGTAATATCACTAGTTAATTTCTTGTCTAAATTGGCTGTATCAATCCGAATTACTCTCAGGTCTTGGTCTGCATGAGATTTTACGTTCTCAAACATATCACTCATGGACTGGGCACTTGCTTCAATGGACGACACGGTCTGCTTCACATCTTTGACCTCACTCTCAAATTTGTTTACCCTTTCATTCAGTGTTGTTACGGAGTCAGTTATAGACTGAAAATGTGTCATTTTATTTTCAATTTCACACAACCTTTTGTCGAGTGATGTGTTATTGTTTTCAATGACTGCAAGTCTTGAATTTATTTGCAAGACAATATATTTGAAAACAAATATTGCACGGTCACAAAGTGGCACTAGTGGTTCATTGTAAATGCGTGAATATTGTTTATCACTCGAGACTGCGATGTTTTCAGTTTACCGTTTGTTGTTATTCTTTCGTTTGACAAATGTTCACTTGCTTTCAAATTGTCATTCTCCAGACATGGCACGATAACCGAACGTCTATGTACTTGAAATTGAAACTCTAATAAAAAAAAAAGTGCAAAACAATAGGGACATTTTGAATTTTTTCCTCCCATATCAGTAAGCAGAAACTGCAGACGTTTTATGATATACTGATTTACAATTTAATGAAGGATGGAAATTAAAGAATTGTTTTCAGAAAATAATTTTTCGTATATCTCCAACTTATCAACAATCTCTCTCTCTCTCTCTCTGGAACGTAAGTGAACGGTAGTGAACCCTGTCTGAATCCTCGCTTGTTGCGTTCTACATTCAATCTAATTTACAGAAAATCTTTATATGTTTTCTAGTCATCATCCTTTAATTCACCGACAATTTTTAAAATCATTTCATCTTATTTTTCACAGTGAACAAACAAATCCATGATTGCTGTATACAAATTACTTTTATACTTTTATAATTAAAATTATACAACATACTTATAAAGATTAGTGTTTATAACCTAGGTCCCGCTAATATTTCAAACGTATCCCAAAAAATAATATTTTGCATTTAGATGTATATGTCATTTAGAGAGTGATATTGTAATCAGTGATGAATATCTCCCCCCCCCCACCCCCCACCCCCCCGACGAAAAACTAAAATTCTTATACCAGTATATTAAATATAGAAAATTATTTTTAATGCATAATATAAATAGAGGAATGTTTTAACATAGAAAGTCAACGTTAAATAGTTCCAAATATATGTTTAAGAAAGTTAAGACATACTTAAGTCACATCTACCGGCCGCCTAAGTTTTGCTAAGATTGTCAAATCTTAGCACGTTTTTAGTTACGGTCTTAAGTTTAAGACTGTACTTAAGTCCTTCTTAAGCATGGTCTTACACTTAAGTACCCTTAATGTTACGACCCCTTGGTCCTTAAGTAAGCTGGTTTGAATACCATTGCGGGGCGTGAAGATCGGTCCTTCGGGTGATACCGTATAAACCTATGTCCCTTATCGCAGTAGGTGCTGGCACGAAAAAATATCCCTCGCTGCTCAATGGCCCTGAGTGCCGAGTATAGGTCCAAAATTTGAAGCCCTCCACCGGTAAGTGGCGGCGTCTCAATATGAATGAAAAATTCTCGAAAGGGACGTTAAATAAAACAAACAAACATATCAACATCAGAGTACTTGTGTGTAGAATCAGAATATATTTTTTAGCAGAAAGATGAACAAGGACAAGATAGGAAAATTTGAGAGTTCCATTTTTATTTAAGAAACAGTTGTCTAAATAACCTTTTTCTTTAATTCACCGCGGGGAATGGTTGTACAAAGTGTTGAAAAGTCACGTTTTGATGCTAAAGAATTTGGTGAAATTTTGTAATTTTAAATTTCTTAAAGTTGTTTGGTGTTTTTAAGTATTTGATTAACACCACTTCTCGAATATGCATTTGGACAGTACTGCTGAAGTTTCTCCTTTAGTGCTATTAATATTTTCGTGCCGAGTAAAATAAGACGCTTTTTAGAATAGATGCTGGAACCCGCAATCAATCATAAAGCATACAAACTACAAAACATATAGGTTTATATAAATATCTAATTAATTTTAGTATTTGCCAATGACACAGTTGAAAATCTTATATTCTTTTAACAAGATGTAAATTTAAAGTGCTAATTGTTCTTTCAGTACTTATATTAGTATGTCAAATTAGTAAATGCGAAATTGACATACAGATATGTCTATTTATGTGCATTATAAATTACATTCAGTTACCACAGCTATATACATTGAACCACTGCTTATACAATTTTTTAGAAGATAAATGTTGTAGGTCCTGTACCAGAAGAAATGAAAGCAAGAGAGAAAATGAAAAACACATCCATCATATTTAACCCAAAAGGAGAGATAGAGGGAACATATACAAAAGTAGGTTAATTAGTATGATAAATACATATGTATTTTGTTTAAAACTGTGACTAAATTTAATCTATTTTCAATGTTAATCATATGCAAACCCTATGTTTAACCTTCTAAAAGTTTATTTAAAAAAAAAAATAGATATATTCTTTTTATGAAATATATATGTTTATTTATAATTTAAATAGCTGCTAAAAGCACTAATATATACACTGACTGCATTTAACAGATGCATTCTTTTGATGTTGATTTGTGGGAAAATGTATCAATTCGTGAGTCTGAATGGTTTGATCCTGGTCACAACCCATATATATTTAACACGGGTATTTAGATTTTTTAATATATAAAATTCTGCATCAAAAGTTAGAATATGCTCAACATGAGTAAGGAAAACAACATATAAATATATTTAATAATGAGCATTTAAATTGTAATTTGTTAATGCTCCGCGAGCTAGATTTTTTAAAAATCAAATTACAATTATTTTTTCATAGTTGTTAAATATAAGAAATACAAATGTTTTCTTTTTTTTTTCTAAGAGGTATGCAAAGTAGGAGTTGGGATTTGCATAGACGTTCGTTTTCCTGAAATATCTCGTTATTACACAGAACAAGGTCAACTCTGTGTGTGTGTGAGGGTGTGTGTGTGTGTGTGTGTGTGAGGGTGTGTGTGTGTATAATTTTCTTTCCATTTCTTTTTCAAGCGTGTATATTAAGTGTACACCTACGCCTTAGTTGATGAAATCTTCTTTCCAATGACGTCATTTTCTTTTAAGAAACGCCACAAGCTGACATCGTGGTGGAGTCTTCTACAATAGATACATAATTATAATTTTATCAATTTATATTTTTCAAAAATGTGTTAAAATCCCGAATAATAACCCGGGCGCTTCCTTCCCATACTTTCTGTGTTTCTCTAAACCATTGTTCATGACGATATACTAATAATTTCTTTTAGACTGTAAATTGCACGTCTACCTTGGCGCCTTTACAGCAGAGATTACTGGGCCTGCGCATTGGGACGTCCTACTAAGAGCACGTGCCATCGACAACCAGGTTTACATAGCAGCGTGTTCCCCTGCAGCAGATAAATCACATCATTGCGAGGCCTGGGGACACAGCACAGTGGTGAATCCTTGGTAATAAACAAAAATAAGCATTTTTTTGTTTCTAAACTTGTCTGGTATCTTTGAGCAGTACATGATTACAACGTAACAGCGTTAGTGTAATTATAGCGTTCAGTATATAAAAAAAATTACATCCTTTGATCAATTCATGGGTTTTGTTTCAAATGGTAATCTGTGTAAACATTTTTGATTGTCATTGGTGAACAAGGTGATTATAAAAACATTGATCGATTTCAAAAACTAGATCCTATAAACTATACAAATCCATGCAAAACAAAGGACCCCTTGAAACACCAAAGGTAGTAACCAGTGACGAGAATGAGTTAGTATCCCCTTGTTGTTGGCCACATCGTTGTTATCCCTCTGTATTGATCTGGTTAATGGTAAATCAGTATGAAAATAAGGGCTTAAGAATTGGTATGAACCACATCAGTCCAAATCGACCTAATGATAGGTGATTAAAGACGATTATCACAACAACGGTCAGACAATTAGCAAAATGCTGACTTTAAACAAAATGTTAAAACCTCTTCAACATCAATTCATTTGTCAATATATTGTCCCGTTTTAAATTTTGATCGTACTCATTATTTTATTTTGACAATATATGATACATTTGTACAATGTTTGGACTTGGTCTTATATTATCCTTATTCTACATTCACCTCTAGTCAGGTGCCAAAAACTTATCAAATTAACACTGCTAGATATCCAGGGGTTTTTTTTTTCTTTGTTGTTTGCGATTAAGGACTATTTTTCCAGTTTTGATTTTCTTTGTTCAATTTGTTCTGTTTTACAAGGGGGGGAGATCATAAGCCAGGCAGAGGGTGAAGAGTCTATAATATATGCTGATCTTGGTGAGTTGATTATTTACACAATTACTCTCTGTAACATTTTTATTTTTTTTTTATTTCCAAGAACATACAATATCTGAATAAATAGAATATAACCTGTCTGTTCATATTTATAACTCACAAATATCTATAGCTCATGTAACATGCCTTTTCTTTTTGTCCTTTTTTTTGTGAAGCTCTGTATTTTATAATCTAACGGGGAAAAACATATTTTACAGTGAAAAATGTTGATTCTAAGCAAGTTGACGTGATTATGTTTGGTAAATTGAGTCTCATAATTTTTACTTGATAAGGTAGACTGTTGCAAATGGTTACGTTTAATTTACTGTGAATTTGAAAATTCATTGTGGTTTAAACCTAAAAAAAATCATGCATAAAAATATTTTCATATTAATCCTTTCTTACATGCTACGCGCAAGAACATCTATTGATATCCCAAACATCATGTACTATGATACCTTACGCGTGCTGTAAAGGTTTCCCGAACACCACATGCTGTGTTCGACACCGTGCATTGGTGACTTGTACATCACGTGATGTTATCTGAAACCATTATGTGGTGTCACACCACTTGATGTATCTGCAATGATACCCGGAAAATCACATTGTGAGGTGGTGGCTCAAGTCTATGAAACTGTCCATTTGTGTACATATAATATATTGAACACGTTCTTTTTAAGCGTACACTAATTGTACATCTGTAGCAGAAATTTACAGATTGAGAACAATTTCGTGTTATCATTAATAAGTGCCACGAGTATCTTATATGTATGATAATAAACTGAGGAAAATTGCAAATCACGATGAGTCATTAAAACGAATATAACCCTAAAATTATTATTCTATAATACCTTTTTTCAGACATGAATTATTTAAATCAAGTGAGGGCTAAGCTTCCTTTGGAGAAGATCCGTCGTAAAGACCTATATCATCTGACGCATAACTGGTAGTTAAAGAAACCATCAAAATGTTAATTAGAATGTGTTGGTTGTTAAAATACGGAACTCTTGGAAGAGAAAAATCTTTTTTCGAAAACCGAGAGAATCAACAAAGACAATGGGTAATCGTATGAAGCAGATGATTATCATGATTATATGCATTCTATATTTTATGGTGTTTATATGATAAATTAAAAATAAATATTGGAAAATAAATTGTTTCAATTGTTTTATATTTATTTCAAAAGTCCAAGTTTTGTATATTTATCAACACCTACAAAGAGATGCTTGAAGCAACGAAAGATGTCTTTCCATTTCTTGCTATAGAAACACTGGTAATCTACAGCCTTTCATGTACATTCATTAAAATGTTTACATTTCAATATTGCAGTGTATATACACTTTATTTTTGCGTAATCACGCGAATCCATTTGCTCGCAGAAATTTCATTATCGCACATATTTTTTTTAAATATAAGATAATTACAACAATACCTGAATTTTTTTCTCCTAATAGATACTGAATTATCTCGCCAAAAATAACTTGTCGCAAAAATTTGATCTACAGTATTTGAACTAAATGTAACATCTTTCTTTAAAAATGCCCTTGCTTAGTCTATGTTGAGGTTTTTTTTTACATCAATCTAGCCAAAGGCTCAGAGTGATATTAGATTAACAATTACTGGCCTTCTTTTTGTGGACTGATGTCTGTAAACTTCAAATATTTTTTACATCTCAAGAATGAACAAATTTTACTTAAACTTGGGGCGATCAGATTTCTTGAGAATGAAAAAAGTGAAGATAACGAACAGTTATCGATCTCAAAAAGATCTAGTAACAATACAAATCTGTGAAGAGAGCATAAACAGGGACCCCGGATATATTCCAGAGGTGGGAAAGGAGCCTAGGAGTGGTCATGTATAGGAGGGATGCATCCCCTGTCGACCGGTCACACCAGCCTAAGCCTTAAGTATTGATCATGTAGACGGAATATTCCGTAGTGAAATTTAGTATAGAATCAAAAGCCTAACAATTGGTATGAAAAATGGCAGTCAAAATACGACCGAATGATAGGTTGTATTTGTTAACAAGATCATTAAAACGACAAAAAAATTTACGAAATGCTGACTTTAAATGATGTTGTTGAAATCAGTGTAAAATCAACTTACCTGTCGGTGGCCTGCCTCGGTATAAACATTGATCGTACTCGGAGCATGCTCTTGAGTATCGAATGAGTTGGGAGACATAGGTACCATAATTAAGCAGGTGATACCGGAATATAATACTACATAAATAAGGAATGTTGACTCTGGAAACACTGAAGTCATCTCGTTTGTTATAAAATTAAAGTTGTCGTCTATTATAAGTAAAATTCCAAATAGAAAACAAATGTTGCAGACTCTGTGGTATCTTTTATTTCGAGTTCATTTTGATATTTTGAGTTGACATCTGAAAGGAAGTTATTGTTCATTGATACAACGTGGTCAATAAATCTTAGTTTAATGTCGAGTTGAACATCAGAGTGAGTGTTTTCATATAAAAGTTTTGGAATAAATTCTGTTTCATAGGAATATAAAAACATGTCGGCTAATAAAAGAGCACAATAAGAGCCCATAGAAATTCCAACAGTTTGTTGGAAGACATGGTCTCCTGATTACGTAAATGTCGTCAATGAGGAACTCCGGCATCCTTTTAATTTCAGAGTACGTGTGTGTAGAATAAGAGTGATTTTTAACAAAATAATTTTGTTGATGACTCATCACAAGATATGAAAATTTCCGAGTTCCGTTTTTATTAAAGAAACCGTGTGTATAATATCAAAAAGCGTTCTTTTTTAAATTTATCGTGAGGAATAGTTGTATAATGTGTAGAAAAGTCGTAAATTGTGATATTAATTACTGCCTTTTGGGAAAAATGGCGATTCTAAATTTTCAAAAAGTTCTTTGGAGTTTTTGAGAATCCACATCAAGAATATCTTGAAGCACAGTGAGCTGAAGTTTCTTCTTTACAGCAGTTAATATTTTTATGGGGAGTAAAGATAGGCTTTGTAGAGCATTTGCTTTTCCCGGTAATGTATCT